GCTATACTTTCAGCCAATTGTTATTTCATTGTTGTTTCACCACAGCTGGCGTGCCGGTATTCTGTCAAAATCTCCGACCCGTTGAGACCTCCGACTGGTGACGTCACATCCGGTGATTCGCCAGTAGCCGATTCCCACCAGATGGCACGAGTGCACATGCGCCAGCATTAGAATCCTTATCGGGTTATGGAGCTCCCATCACTGCGCCTGTGCTGCTTCGCAATCCGCATCAAGTTCTCTGACCCCCATCAGTGCGCCTGTACGGCCACCCAAAAGCACGGCCACCCAAAAGCACGGCCACCCAATGGCAAAACATGTAATCTCTTTGCATGTTGTGCCTTGAGATGAGCACGCAGGTGCAAAGGTGCTATTTGGAGGTCTTGATGCTGCTGTTCAGTGACCACAGGCGCACTGACGGGGGTTAGAGAACTTGATGGGGACTGTGAAGCCGTGCAGATGCAGTGACGGGAGTTGGATGACTTGATAAGGATTTCGACAGCGGCACAGGTGGCGCACAAGCGCCATCTGGTCTACATCGCCTACTGGCAAGTCACCGGAGGTGTCGTCACCAGTCGGGAGATCTTGATGAGTCGGAGCTTTCGACAGAACACCTGTGTTGCCTACCCCTGCCATATATCCATCTAGTTCAAGCTGCCTCCTGTTCAATCCTTAGTAAAATGTATTGTGGGCGGCACAGGATGAGAATAATGTTTAAACAATAATGTCATCCGTATGGCTGCTAATCCAATCAGAACCATTAAACGTCTCAAACAACCAACTTCATTCAGTCACCATTATGCTCAGACTCTGAAGCGGTTTAACCTCATCAGAAATCAGTGTGATTATCTGTGTAGAGAAGCAGAGTGTCAAGGATTTTACAGCAGCAGAGTAGCTAAGAAGCTTTACAAAAGGTAAAAATACATAACCCACTAAAACTAATACAGCAGCTATAGGTGACGCCGGGCTGCACGCACACATCATATGCAATGTACAGCAGTCTCTTCCCCAAGGCCTCACACAGATAACGTCAAGGCCTGACCTACTTTATATATTATATGTGGGGAAAATGTCAGCAAAAAAAGGAGGATGAGATATCAAATTCCATACAATTTAGACTGCACATATGAAACACCCACAAGCACCCAGATCCCAGAAAATGGGGAGGAAACGGCAACACACCCCAGCGGGTCCTTGGCTCTTCTCCACCCCATGTGGCCCATTATTCTGATGGGTGGCTTCTGTACCCAATAGAGAGATGCAGGACGGGGCAAGGTTGGCACTTACATCCTCACGTTCTACTAGCCATAACTCTAGTTCAGCATTTCGCAAACTTTTTTTAGTCAGGTTACCCTTTTAAAAGTATGCAAAATCTCGAGGCACCCCATTCTGAAATGTCATGGATTTAAAGAGGGACCCCACACAAAAAAAGTGGGTTTCCCTCTTCACATCAAAGTGCCCCCTACAAATCAAGTATTCCCCCCCCTCTCTTCAGACCAGTCACCCTTTGCATCAGAAGCACCCTTTCACATCAGGAGCCCCACTTTCATATCAGAGTTCCCTTTTACCTCAGTCTTCATTCCCCCTTTACATCACAGTCCCACTATCACAAAATTTTGAGGCACCCCTGGGGCACGATAGCACAATTTGTACGGTAGATGCATTGCGCGGTACCACGCAATGTGGTGCAGTGCGGCTAAAAAAAAAAAAGCAGGGCATGCACTATTTTGTTTTTTTTTAATCACACAGCAGGGTATTGCGGTAGCATGCATTGCCATTCAAATGAAGCAGGTCACTTTAAAGCAGAACTCCAGGCAAAATGGTTCTTGACTCTTGCAGTTTTATACATATCTGACTACAGTAAACTCACCGTTACTCTGCATCCACGGGGATTGGTAGATTCCGGATAAATGTGGTTGCTTGAGAGTTACCACTAGGTCTAACTAATGCCATACCCCATACTATACCATGTCATAAACTCTGTATTGACTTCATATTAATATTGAACTGCAGTAATCAAAAGCAAAGACAAATAGACCCACTAAAGGACAAATAGAAAGTTGAACAGAAGAACGATATGTTAGTGCACTCCTGGGGTGGTGTGTTGTGTTGTGGCCGGTGTGCGGCTCCTGATATTGTTAGACCGGGGTGTCCAACTGTGTGAAGGTGAACAGAAAAAAGGGAAGGAGCGCAGCTGACTGGCACAGGGTGTAAGGATGGGAAACTATCATGGACAAATATGATGTACTGGCACTTGTGTGATGGAAAGAGGGGGCACAAGGGTGGTGTATACTTCTGATGGGGTCTCGCCGTATGGGTTGGGAGGTGTCACAGGGGTTGGAGCGCGGTCGCAATCCTTGCGCAGAAACCGATGTGGGAAAGAGGGAACAATTGTTTAGAATTTCTGCACATGTGTGTAACTGGATGTGAACTCGTTACACACCATGAGGTTTGTCGTCTGGCGCTATCAACATCGAAATGGGTCCTGTGGTGGGTTGGAGGCGTAGTGGCAAAGCACGTTCTGTTCCTAAAGGTTGTAGTTGGAAGTGGTTCCTAAGTCGGTGTATCTTTGAAAGATGCTGTGTGGGGTTTTTTGCCTCTCCCCCCTCTCTCCAAACCAGCCAAATAATTTTTATCGGACATCAGGTCGTGAACCAGGCCAGGACTTCTACAATCAGGAGCATCCATCTCAACCCCCACACTGCAAGTCCGTCCCAGGATCTCAACAATCTCGAACATTCATTGGAAACCCCACACAGCATCTTCCAAAGATACACCAACTTAGAAACCACTTCCAACTACAACCTCTAGGAACAGAACGTGCTTCGCCACTACACCTCCGACCCACCACAGGACCCATTTCGACGTTGATAGCGCCACACCCCAAACCTCATGGGGAATAAAGAGTTCACATCCAGTTGCACACATGCAGAAATTCTAAACAATTGTTCCCTCTTTCCCACATCGGTTTCCAACCGGTAGTCCACGCAAGGTTTGCGACAGCACACTAACCCCTGTGACGCCTCCGTAAAGACAAATAGACACACTATAAAACATAGACACATGATCATGTCCAGGATAATATATGCCGCGGATTAGCAAAACAGAGTACACAGGGGATTTTTTTTTCTGGTTAGATGAGAGTTCTGATCAGCTGAATACCGGATAACAGAGTTCACTGTATTCATAATGACAATATTTCTCTAATACGTTTCCACAATTTGGTTTCAAGACTGAAAACAAGTATGTACATAGAGGATAAAAAACAGCAATATAGTTTACATTATGTAATCATTAATATAATTATAGTTTGAAAGCTTTCCACATTTTAAACAAGTTACACATCCAATTTTTACCAATTTAAAGTTTGACTTGATCTAGATAATGAGACGCTTGTCTGTCCAGTCAGGGCAAAGGGACAGTGTCTACTGAAAGTTTACCCCCCAAAAAGTTATCCATGCTTCCTTGCCGTCACATGGCAAAAGTCACATGCTTCCCCATACTCAGAAGCTCTGCTCTATTTGGGTATAGAAGAGCATGTGACCTCCACCACATGACATTGCAAATGACTTAATTGGCAGGTCCAACCAATGTCATGTGAAGGGGAAAGCGATGACGACATCCACCAGACACCAACAACATCCGACAATGGAGCATACCCTGGGTGGACTACAGTACTGCAGTGGAGAGTTGGCGAGAGAATGTAGAGCAAGGGTGGGCAATACCAGCCCTCCAGCTGTTGTGGAACTACAAGTCCCATGAGGCATTGCAAGACTAACAGTTACATACATGACTCCCAGAGGCATGTTGGCATTTGTAATTAAAGCACAGCTGAAAGGGCCAGAGTTGCCCACCCATGATGTGTTGCTGGATTGGGGTCAGGGGGGTCTATCAGCATACACTGTCATTTTGCCCTGGATGGGCACAGCAGAGGGGAGGGGGCAGCGCACTGATCGGCAGCTTATACAAGCAATCCGCTCTATAGCCGGCAGTTCGCTTGTATGTAAACAGGCATCGCTGCCTGTTTTTACATTTGGGCAGTTTCCCCGTGCGCGAGTGGGCGGGGCCAACAGGACGTCTTTTGACGGCTTGTTACATCCAGGAAGCTCCCAGCCGGCCAATCTGAAAAATCTCATCAAAACATGGCATTCAATAATACCATCACCGCCTTTATCAATGTCAATTAAAATTTCATCTGATTTTGAAATGAAAGGAGTTTCCCCCAACAAAAACCACATTAAGTTTCATTCAACAAATTTTCCATCCTGCTCCTTTGATAATTTTTCAGCACTATGATTGAAATCATTCATCAAATTGACTCCAATAACTTTTAGGAAATTAAACACAGGTTCTGAAAGCAAATGTTTTTAAAATGAAATGTGAATTATGTATACCCATGGGGTGGACAAATGAATATGGAACACAGGAGCCAATCTATCCAGTACAGAAGCCAGCAGGATATTTTTTAGAAGCCAGCTCCATTGATAATAACTAGAGACAACCTCAAAAGTTGAGCACCAGCTATAATTATTAGGGAGCACTGGCTACCTGGCTCCTTGGATTTGTCCAGCCCTGGTACACCCAGCTTTAGTTTTCCCCCAAAAAAGAAAAAAAAGGTAGAAAGAAATGCTCGCCATCTCTCGCAAGTTTGTGTTACCAACATTCAACAGATAAAAAAGCAAAAGAAAGAGAAGCACATAAAATAAACACATTCAATCTAAGTTAGCAGCTAGTTGAGCAAGCAAGTAACAAAATACTCAGCATAGTCAATTATTATACGGGATGTATATAGCGCCAACAGTTTGTGCAGCGCTTTACAAAACTGAGGGAGACAATACAATTAACAATACGATTTCAGTACAGGAGGTAGGGGGCCCTGCTCGTGAGAGCTTACAGTCCATGCAAGGCAATAAAGGATTTGGTCTTACTTAAAGAAATGAGTCACTCCTGCTTTTATCTTGAGGACAGTCTACAGTTTATGAAGAAATCAAACAAGCGCTTACCTATAACCAGGGGCAGCGTCCAGCAGCGATAAGGACTGGCAGGTCAGGAGACATTCCACTTTCTAGCAGAGTTCCCCGTAGTCAAAGCAACAGCTCAGCCCCCAGCAGGACAGAGGCGTCTTGCTCTGTCTGGTGTCAACAGGAGAAAAAAGGCAGTTCAGTTCACCCTCAGGGACACGTACAATCCATTCTCATTACAGCCAAACCTGTATCCATAAACAGATTTACCGTGCACAGGAAAATACAGATAAAGAAAACCTGTCACAAAGCCAAGCACGGGATGAATGTCAAAGCCAGAGAGAGAAAAAAACTTCATGCCTAATGAGTAGATCTAAAAGGTATAGGCAACTCAGGTTCTATATAAATATTGACTTAACCTGCAAAAGTTGAGGTTCACCGGACCTTCTGCCAGCTCCGGAGAGTCTCTATTCTGCCCCAAATATGAAGGCTGCATCATTGGCCAATAAGTAGTCTGAGCAATGAAGCTGCCAATACATCAGAGGTGGACAAATTATTTTGGAACGCAGGTGCCAATCTGTTCAATTTAGGTGCCAGCTCCATGGGCAACTAGAGATAATTTTTAAAGGAGCATTGGCTACCTGGCTCCTGGGATTTGTCCATTCCTGCTATACATAGTTGCCAACTTTTGAAGATAATTTGGGGGGACACTTTAAAGGGCTTGAGAAGAAAAATGTGGCACGCTATACCTGGTCATACGCTGGACGTTTATATGAAAATTCTTATCAGAACATTCGTTAATGACATCAGAGAATTGACAAATGTTTAAAATGTCCTTGATTTTAACATTCGATTTTGGAAATGGATGAAGTTTCCCAATTAAAAATAAATTCAATGTTAAAATTGAAAAGATTTCCCTCCTGCTACTTCGATTGTTTTCATCACTATGGTTGACACAATCCTCGATTTGACCCAATCAACTATTAGAAAATCTAACAATGTTCCAAAAACAAAAAATTCTACTGGTGTATGGCCAGCTTAAGTGTGCCATGTGAAAAACACAAGGGGGCATTAGCAAAAGTGGATGTGGCTTCAGTGTGTGGCTTGTAGTGCTGCATCTTTCCCACTATGCTTGAAATAAAATATGGGGTACACTAAAGAGAAAGTGAGAGCAATAATAAGCCCCATCATTATGTCAGGGGGAGTTATAGAAGCCCCATCATTATGTCAGGGGGAGTTACAGAAGCCCCACCGTGATGTCCGCGGGAGCGTGACAAGCCACGTCGTGATGTCCGTGAGAGTAATAGAAGCCACGTCGTAATGTCAGCAGGCGTAATAAAAGCCCCATTATTGATGACAGCGGGAGTAATAGAAGCACCATTATTGATGACAGCGGGAGTAATAGAAGCACCATTATTGAGGACAGTGGGAGTAATAGAAGCCCCATAATTGATGACAGTGGGAGTAATAGGAGCCCCATTATTGATGTCAGTTGTAGTGAAAGAAGCCCCATTGTTGAGGTCAGTGGAAGTGAAAGAAGCCCCATTATTGATGTCAGTTGTAGTGAAAGAAGCCCCATTGTTGAGGTCAGTGGAAGTGAAAGAAGCCCCATTATTGATGTCAGTTGTAGTGAAAGAAGCCCCATTGTTGAGGTCAGTGGAAGTGAAAGAAGCCCCATTATTGAGGTCAGTGGAAGTGAAAGAAGCCCCATTATTGATGTCTGTGGGATAAATTAAGTCCCATCGCTGGTGTCAATGGGAGTAAAAATAAACCCCATTTTAGTGGTGGCAGGGGAAGCAAGATTAAGCATTGGTGCTCAGTGGTTACTAACTTGAACACAGAGCCTCTGCTTACTCGAACTATGCTGTGACTGGAGAGGCACATTACATTTTTGGCCAGGCTAGAATTGCCAAGGCTTGTGACAGGTTTACTTCAATCATACATTCAAAATATATTTGAGTTAAAGATAAACATTTTGCTTACATTGTACCTATTATACAATCATACTGTCACCCTAACATTCATCTCGTGTGTCTATCTAAGTGTGACCATTAATGGTGATAATCAGTAAGCTTGTGTGTCCTCAGTGGGGTAATAAGCACCTCCAGGGTTTACAGTCAATTTGTTGCTGCACAGGAACTTTTCATGACCTACTGCAATATCCCTCTGTGAAGCGGCCTGATTTATGTACACCTTGTACATCCGAATTTGTCAAGTACCAAGGTCCCAGAGATGGAACAAGTTGTTTGAGTACCTACTCATTGTTTACCGAGAGACCATTGTCTATGGCCACCCTACCTCTTAGTCATGATCTTCTGGGAAGGGGAAAGGATAGAGCATATGGTCTTCATTGCTCTGTACTCGCTGGATAGAGCTTCCCTCAATTCATGTCTGGGTGACCACACAGGAAGTGAAGGGAAATCTCGTCAAAAGAGACCAATTGTGACAGTTTCTAACCCTTCCTCATCCCACTAGAAAGTGCTTTCATGTCTGGATGCCAAGTTACTTTACGTTCTGCCCCTGGAAGCCGGGCAGCATGTCATTACACGCTGCCGGGCATATCAGGAAGCCGGGCATCGTGTAATGACAAGCTGCCCGGCTTCCTAATACCGGAAGTATCGGGCTAGACATCGGAGCATTTGGGCGAGTACTCGCCCAAATCCTCGGCCTTGGCACCGTTGCCGATACTAGTATCAGTGCATCCCTAATTATGATTATAAAATTCTAGATTTTATACAAAGAAAAGAAACAGTACCCATAAAAAACCCTTTCCCTGTAGGCACAGGTGATGTCAAAGGGCCTTCTCCCAAGGTACACAGGATTTGGGATCTTCAACCTTCACAGAAGAAGGTCCATTGACATCCCCCTTGTTTCGATGAGCTTGCCAGAGATAGGGGGAAAGGCAAGTATTTTTTTTTTCTCTTTAACCTCGAGTTCTATTATCTGGGGACTACCTAATAAGCCAACTTTGCATTTCCATGTAAGGTCCACTTTAACTAGAGAGCACTGGAACGTCCTTATTATTGCAAGCAAGAGTTTTACTATCTGCTGGAAACTCCCAGAGCAAGCAATCATTCCACCGTCTATGAACAAAGAGGAACCAAACTCTTAATGCAGACTGTCATAACCCGTCATAAGTGTTTCCAGTCCTGACTCCAGCAAAAAAGTGATCCCTAATTATTCCTCCACATAAAGAGAAATGAGGCAAACAGGGGCAACCACTGAACTCCTTCTGCAAGTGCTAGTTTAGTGGTGTCCAGCATTCAATGTTACTAACCCACCACAAGCAGTTGGCTCAGAACTCCTGATCTACTTACTTGTTCCAGATCAGAAACGCTAATTGATGCCTGTTATTCTGATCCTCGGGCTTTAGATTTCTCTAAAAGATTTCTGCAATGGCAACCCCCATATTTCTCTCTTGACAGGTCTCCTTTCATGTAAACCTATCACTTTGCCCATTTAGGGCAAAGCAACAGGTACACGTGACATTTCTCCCCCCTCTGTTGTAGATACCTTCCTCCCGATCTGCCACCTCCTTGCATGCCATGTGCAATACCTAGTACTCATCTTCGTCCCATGATGCAGTGCTCTGCACAAAAGGCCAAGCCCTGGTGCTGTCTCATGGGGATGGGGGTCCTTAGCTCTTTGTAAACTCCAACACAAACACAGAGCATATAGTGCTTTATACCTAGGCTGCAGCAGGCAAACAGGGTAGTGATGGAGACCAAGGAAGGTAGGTATCAGTAGCAGATGGAGTATGCTATCAAGAGAACCTGTCATGTTTCCCTATATGCAAAAATTGACACATTCACGGTTTAGTGATAATCTACCCAAATTAGACATCTCCAGGGATCTCAAGTCTCCCTGATGTTCAGGGAGTCTCCCTCTTTTGGACAGCAGCTCCCTGATGTCCGCGATAGAGGCATTTTCTCCCTGAAAAGGTTTACTCTGAGTAAACCTTTGCGGTAAGATATCAGTGGGTAAGGTCAGAGTGAGGCTTGCCTCCTGAAGGAAGGTCATGTGATCTCTAGAGTAGCCTCAGAACAATGCTTGGCTCTCAGAAGGAAGAAGCTACTTGCTGCACAGAGAGGGTGGACACACAGACTACTATTGAGAGCAGGTACAGTCACTGCTGCAGGGTTGAGAGTGCGCTGTTAAACCTTTGTGGATAATATAGAATTAATGATATGTCCTGGTTGTCTAGTTATAGAGAACATTTATTTCATTTGCTGTCCATAGCAACTAGTCAACTGTGTATCAGGGACTTTACTCCTCAGTGTTTTTTTAAAAAGGTCTTGGGCTGTCTAATAAATTGTGACCTTTACACTGACAGATACTTGAATATCAATTCACAAATCTGATGTATATATAAATAAATACTATTATTGTATTATTGGTATATGGATTTTATTTTACTATGACGGCCGCGGTAAAAAAACAACCCAAAAAATAGAAAGGGCACCTCCCTGAAATGAGACGGGAACCTCCCTGAAATAAGGTTTTGCAGGTTGGGATGTCTGCATCTCTATACCATGGGTATATGGTAACAGCAGTTAGCTTGGAGCCATTCTCATAGTACCCATGCAGTTCTCAGCTGCAAGAGATCCCAATGTGTGACTCCATTAGACAGCATCTAATTGAAGCTTAATACATAGGCCTGTCCCTATTCTGGAAGAAAAAGCCGCTGCCCCTGCCATTAGTTTGATCTGCAGAATGTACTAGGCACCTATGCAAATGGTACAACTAAACTTTTAAAGTATGTGTAAACCCAATCACTAAAATCGCAGCTAAGCTTTAACATGTGAACGCTGATCTCCAGGATAACTTTTTTTCCCCATAGTTCTCTTCAGGGTCATGGAAGGACATATACGATATGATATAGGATTGGAGAGGGGGGGAATCCCTGCGGAGAGCGGTGATTGACAGTCCTTGTTCTTTGCAGGGAGATGAACACGGAGTGAGCAGCGCTGTGTTTCCGCTCACTTACTGATCAATAGAGCAGACGTGTGACAGTTCCAATTGCACATGTCAGCTCTAACTATGGGGATGAGTGTAATTCACCTACACCATAGTTCTCCTTTAACTCCCCTCTCTCTGATCGTCGGCTTTAAAAAAAAAAAACCTTTTTGCTTACCTAAAACCGCGGTCATGTGACGCTCCAGCCCAGAAGTGGAGTGATGAAGGTGCAAAGGGATTATAATGGACCAGCCAAACATCTGCAGTGCTGAATTAGTGCCCCCCGCCCCCAGAGACGGCACCAGTGATGGAGCTGGACAGCAGACTAAAACACATTGGCAAAACACTCGGCAATGCACCTGCTCTATGCGCGGTGCGTCTTTTATTGTGAACAGTTCTCCTAATGCATTGCACAACACAGCACACCTCTGTGTGTTGTGGTTCGCTGCGTTGTTAAAAAAACAGCCCATTTACATGTTTTCGTCTGTTGCCTTAACACAACCCACATTAACATGTCATAACGCATACTAATTAACGTCCGGCAGTGGAAAAAGTAAATGGGCCCTCAGGGTTTCCATCTACTTCAAGCGTTTCCCTCTTGCCCATCCCAGACTCTGCGCTTTTGTGTTGTCACCATCAGAAGGCCCTGTGACAGGGTGACAAGTGACCATTTGGAAGCGCACTGTTGTCACCATCAGGAAATCCATCCTAACAAATGACACACAGCCATCGCTGGAGTGCATATATGTAGACAGGAAGTAGTTTCAAAAGAGGCTGCAGGAGATCAGCAACAACAAAATACAACAAAGGATGATAAAAAAAAATTAGCGCTGATCCTACGCTCTGTAAATTTCTCTCATTCAGCCCCGTGGGACTCTTTAGGTTCACTTTATAGCGGAAGTAAAGTGTGCGAATTGAAAAATTGACTGTTTGAGTCTCTTCTGCCATAAAAGCTTCTACCTGCCTGTCAGCAATTTTTTTTGTACATTGAGCCGCACATGCACAGCACAGTGCACAGAGCCTGCCGAGATGAAGTAACTGCCGTACACATGTGCATGAGTTGCATAATGCCGGCCAACCATGAGGCCAAAGGTGCCAAACCTGGAAGACCGGGAGAAGATGGCAGCGACGGTGGGGAGAACGCAGCACTGGAGGGGGTTGTTTTACAAGGTAAGTCAACCATAATGCGCTAATATACTGTGCGTAGCACATCAAGGCAAACACATGCGGTGGTGGGAGGGGCAGTGGGGGACTCTACTTCCTCTTTAAGCATCTCCCTCCTTTCCCATCAACTAATCAATGACTAAAATTATATATGCACAGGTGCTATAATACACAGTTCTTTAGCAACCTGAATGTCATTAAATTGGGGTTTACATCTACATTTAGCACTTCTCTCTCTCCCCCCAGCTCAGAAGTTATCAGATACACAGACCTCCATATCTTCTACTGGAAGTGGACAGCCCCTTTAAGCCCCCCGAGCTGTTCTCAGGAGTCACTATGACATCATCACGATGCCATTCTATCACCATGGATGTGGACCTGATCCAGCCATGTCCCCTCCATGCTCCCCGGTCTGCCGTGTGCTCGGTCTCTTCCTATGTTGGTGTGCCTTCCTCTCTTTGTGTACTCACAGGCCTGCAGCACACTGCACATCAGCTGATACTCCAGCTTAGGAGAGGCCAGCAGAGCCCACAGAACAGCACGCAGACCTCTAATCAGGATCCCGGCGGGCTGTCAGTCACTCTGTGATAGTAATATGATTGCTGATCCCGCGAATTACCTGCTACACACACCGTCTTCCTCCTCTCTCCCTGCCTGCAGGAGATTGCCATGTGCGGAGGGCGGGCTCCAACCAGTCTCCTCCCCCTCACCGTGCTCTCAGCAACAATAGCCCATGATGGTACAATGAGCTCCCAGGGAAAGTTTACGTTTGTCCGTGTTTGTGCCTGTGTATGTGTATATGGAGCAAGCAGGGAAAGGTTATGTTTGTCCCTATGATGCTGCACGGTGTGCGCTCTGCTTATAGGAAGTGTAGAGAGACTTCTGAGAGTTACAAAAAAACACATCGAAGATCAGGGCTGTGCAGTCTTTTCAATGTTTTGTGTGTACATACCATGTGAAGGAGATCAGATTAATATGAATAATTGTAAAAATAACACGTAAAGGGATCAGATTGTTGTAAATGATCTAAAAGTGGCACATTAAGGTCAGTAATGTAAATATTCCAATAAAAAACTATAAAGGAGATCAGCCTGATGTAAATACAGCGCTTCCGGTCCAAGTGAAAATAGTGGTGCTCGCAGTGACAATCACGGATGGCGCCGTGTACAACAATCAATGAACGATAGAAATCACCAGCACTCGGTAAATTACAATTTTTAAAAAGTCAATTTATGTGGACGAAATGTCACACATATCGCATAATCCAACATTTCGGGACCACGCAGGATCCCTTCATCAGGACAGAGATGTTGCATCTCTTTGTGTGACGTTTGTGTGTTTGTGTGACGTTTAATCCACATAAATAGACTTTTTTTGAATTTCATTTACGGAGTGCTGGTGATTTCTATCGTTCATTGATGTGAATATAACACATGAAGCAGGCAGAATAGTGAGCAGTTGCCTAAGGCAACCAATAAGCATTAAAGCATAATTAAATCCTCATTCTTTTTTGCATGTATCTACTGCTAGCAAGCATATATGCAAAAACATTTTTTTAAAGTCACCAAAAAGGGTTTTACTTACCTGTGTAAGGTAAGGTGTGTACCTCCCGTCCGAAGATCCTGCAAAAGATCATTGGGCGGGCGCTTGCGCAGAAGAGATCTTCGGCGGGGAGGAGAGGCATAGGGTAAGTCAATGCAGCAGCATGCACAAGAATAGACACGGGACTGTAAGCAACAGGTGTCATCGCCAGATAAGAGACGTGCACCAGTGCTGGAGGGATTGCTGAAGACTACTGGAAGGAAGAAGATGACCGCATTAAGAGGCATCATTTCGGGTAAGTCCTTAAAGGAGAACAATGAGGTGAGTGCTTTTCAGCTTTTCACTCACCTCATAGTTCTAGCCGACCTGTGACAATGAGACTGTCACAGGTCGGCTCAGTAGATCGGGAGGTGAGCGAACACATACCGGTGTTCGCTCACCTCTCGATCCTGTCACGGCTCTCTGTAGTGACAGGGGAGGGGCTGGATTCTGCCAGCGCTGACTGGCAGTACGGACGGGGAGGGGGTTTAAAGGAGAACTATGAGGTGAGTGATTTTCACTAATGCTCATAGTTCGAGCCGGGGTGTAACAATGAAACTGTCAAACGTCGGCTCAATAGATCGGGAAGTGAGCAAACACATACCGTCGCTCGCTCACTTCTCGATCATGCCCCTGCAGAGAGCCGTGACCGTCACTCACGGCTGCCTGCAGGGATTCCCTCTCCAATCCAACAGCACTAACTGGCAGAACGGACAGGGAGGGGGCGGGTACAGCTGGCTCTGCCTCTAGATAGGCAGAGCCAGCTGTCAATCACGCAGCTGGGTGGATCTCGACAGTAATGTCGGGATCTTTCCTGGCTGCGGCGTCTCAGTATACCGCGAGCTGTAGCTCGCGGTATACTGAGCTTTGGGTCATGGGAGGACGCAAGTTTGTGTCCTCCCATGACCCTTAGGAGAACTATGGGGAAAAACACTTACCCTATAGTTCTCCTTTAAGCTTTCAAAATGAAAGAGAGATGCTGATTGGTTGCTCCAGATTCTGTCTGCTCCAGTTTTGATAACTTCCTCTCAATGCGTATTATTAAAGGTACATGTTTGCTGGCAACATTTTGGAGACAGTAAAATAAATATTTAGGCCTCATTCACAAGGCTTTATTTCCGAAAGGCGGATTTATGCGGCAGGTGGCTCTGGACAGTCTGTACAAAGCAATGGCAGGCTGACAGTATCCAGGGACCATCATCTGTCTGTGACTGCAGGTATTCCTCCATGTGCGATTATTACCTCCGAAGACGAGCGGACAGGTGCAGCCACTCTCATCCAGTCATTGCTTTGTACAGGCTGAGGGGCCGCAGCTGTCCGAAGTCACCGGTGATTCCTGGCGCAGGAATCTGCTTTCAGAAATGAACGCCTCTTGTGAATGAGGCCTTAAGGGTTCATTTATAGCATTGCACAGTGGCAGCACATGGTATGTGACTGGAGCCACAGCGCACCTCCCTCATGCATCCACAATGCATAATAAAAAAGCTCTGGTTTGGAGGTTACATCAGGTATAAAAAGATCCATGGCCTCAGGTGACAGCAGTTGGGACTGGCTATTGGCCACTTGATAACCAGTGCCTGATTGCAATGAAGGGAGAGAGTCACATGCTCCATATTGGGGGGTTACTTGCATGAGCGTCCCTACACTTTTTGCAGGCTGAGGCCAGCGAGAGGGGGTTCGAGCGGTACCTCTGTCTGGCGTCCCGTCCAACTCACTGACGTAACTGGTTGACAGGACACCAGCCAGAGCGCCCCACTCAGCTCCTGGCAACCATTGACATGAGTAAGCTGGATGGGATGCTGGCCACTGTGTCACAGGTTGCTACGAGCTCTTAACAACCTGGGGCGCTCTGGCAGGAAAGGAGGGTAGGTGGGGTTTGGGCGTGCTGGTGGTGCACGTTCCAGGAGGATGGCAGGGTGTGTTGATGGTTCACGCTAAGGCGGAGGTGGATCATCTCACCCCCCAGCTCTGGCAGGCACCCTGCCCAGCTCGCTGATGTCACTGGTTGCCAGGAGCTGGGCAGGACACCGGCCAGAGCTTCCGACTCTGCTCTTGGCAACCAGTGACGGCACTCGGTTGGGCAGGGAGAGCTGGGCAGGGAGATGTGTATAGCCCTTACTCATCTCCGTGCCCAGCTCTCATTAACTTGGGATGCCTCCCTATGGGAAGACGCAGCAGCTCGCAGCTACAAGCAAACATGAACCCTCACATCCATGCAGGTCTGGGTGCCCACACGGATGCATGGTGTGCACACTGAGCAAGTCTCTGCACGTGCAGGCCCTTAGTATCTTTGTCGACTTTGCTGAGCATACACCTGTGGCCAGTGCGTTTCCACTGGACCTTCATGGTGGGTTTTTCTTTTCTAGAAATTAAAATAGTTCTTTACCTTTTTTCTTTCTTTATTGAAAATGATGTGTAGCATTAATGTGCAGTAGGGTTACCTAACAGGGAAATTCCTTCCATGACCTTTCCTATTCATTTACTTTCCAGCCTATGGCTTGGATAGGGTTGCCACCTGTCCAGGATTCACCCGGACTGTCTGGGTTTTTAATGCTGTGTCTGGGTTTCATGGCAGCAGAAACCCCGGACACAAGATGTCAGGCAACCAAAATTAAGATAGGAGCTACTGGCCCCCCACTGAAAATAGTCTAAACTGTGATATTTACATATGAATGGGTGGCGCTATTTAAAAATGAATAAGCCACCACTCATTCTCTCAAAAAAATATCCGTGTATTGCTAGAGTGTTCGGGTTTCCCTTGAAGAATAGGTGGCAACCCTAGGCTTGGATGTGCATTTAGCCATGCTGGGAGCAATCATATAGCTATAACTGTGCTTTCTATTTTCCCAGAGGAAGCTACAGACACATATAAATACACATATTATCCTGGCAGCGCACAGCAAGGGACTGAGATGTTTCTATTTAGTATAATCGCTGTCTTGGCAACTTAGTTGTTCTATAAATTAGTCAGAAGAGGAAGCTCATCCTTTCATTGCCTATAGAGCCCTGTAGCTGAGTTTCTATCACTTTCTCTATGGTTAAAGTAACGCTGTTGCTTTAAGTTTATTCAAATGCACCACCGCCAGCCACTACATCACTTCAGTGCACAGCAAATTACAGTAAGGGGATTGGACTGTATGGATGAGCTTTGGGTTCATGCTGACCATGAGTTTGATCCAAACCCAAGCTGTTCACAGCCCACCAAACAGGCGAAAGGTTTGGTCAGTTTGCCCACCCGCTGAACCTCTGTGTCCTAGCAACCAATAATGTTGTAAAAACTGCACAGCACCATTGGTGGCTAGGACACATGTGGCTAAGGCGCACAGCATCATTGCTTGTGGCTAGACTCACCCACTGGCATCTAATTTCTCTAGTGGATTCAATTGCAATTATTGCCTGTTCAGCCAGTTTTGCGGTCCAGGCAGATATACCATGCAGCACTGTTAGATCCTCAAACTTCACTGAAATGGTAACACAAGACAACCAAAGTGTAGAAATACAGTGATAAGGCATTACTCACTTTTTATTATTATTATACAGGATTTATATAGCGCCAACAGTTTGCACAGCGTTTTACAATATAAGGGAGACATTACAATCACAATTCAATTCAAGACAAGATGGTAAGGAGGGCCCTGCCCATGAGGGCTTACAATCTAAAAGGGATGACAGTCTTTGCATCACAGAAAAGACTTAAAGGCTTTTAGTGTTGCCTCTCCTTCTCCCAGTTTGAGTGGTACTGTAGAGGAAATTGAAGTAGGCCGACACCAAATCAAATTCAGGTTGCATTTAAAGATTAAAAAAAAATTTAAACTAACCCCCATCCTTCTCCTCCTGCACCACACCTGCATACCAACCCCCAATCTCACGACTGCACCTGTCCCCCAAACTCCCCCGCCTTCCCCACTGTGCTGATCTAACCCTTCTTCGCTCTTCCCTGCTGTATACTTAAAAAGTTCTGTCACCAAGTCCACAAGCTTTCTACCGCAATCTTTATCTGTGGCCAGTGCAGTAGGACAACATAGTTCACACTGACTGCGCCTGTGCAGTAGGACCACATAGACTTGAAGGGATCTGAAGACTGATCTAGTCTCCCATCACTTCAGTAGATGATGTGATATGTAGGAGCCAC